TATGTATGTATGTATGTATGTATGTATGTATGTATGTATGTATGTATGTATGTATGTATGTATGTATGTATGTATGTATGTATGTATGTATGTATGTATGTATGTATGTATGTATGTATGTATGTATGTATGTATGTATGTATGTATGTATGTATGTATGTATGTATGTATGTATGTATGTATGTATGTATGTATGTATGTATGTATGTATGTATGTATGTATGTATGTATGTATGTATGTATGTATGTATGTATGTATGTATGTATGTATGTATGTATGTATGTATGTATGTATGTATGTATGTATGTATGTATGTATGTATGTATGTATGTATGTATGTATGTATGTATGTATGTATGTATGTATGTATGTATGTATGTATGTATGTATGTATGTATGTATGTATGTATGTATGTATGTATGTATGTATGTATGTATGTATGTATGTATGTATGTATGTATGTATGTATGTATGTATGTATGTATGTATGTATGTATGTATGTATGTATGTATGTATGTATGTATGTATGTATGTATGTATGTATGTATGTATGTATGTATGTATGTATGTATGTATGTATGTATGTATGTATGTATGTATGTATGTATGTATGTATGTATGTATGTATGTATGTATGTATGTATGTATGTATGTATGTATGTATGTATGTATGTATGTATGTATGTATGTATGTATGTATGTATGTATGTATGTATGTATGTATGTATGTATGTATGTATGTATGTATGTATGTATGTATGTATGTATGTATGTGTGTTTGTGAGTGTGTGTGTGTGTATATATATATGTATGTGTGTGTGCTTGTGTGTATGCGTGTATGTGTATGTATGAATGTGTGTGTGTGTGTGTGTGTGTGTGTGTGTGTATGTATGAATGTGTGTGTATGTGTGCTTGTGTGTGTGTGAAACGAGAATACTGTCAACAGAATTCATAGCGATGCTGGAGTAATGGGTAACAATAAACTTTTGCTGTTCCTTGTGTTCACCACCTGTATACTCCTCCGGAAAGTTCTGATGGTTCATCCACTCCTGGACTTTGGTCTTGTTCTAGAATGTGAGTTTTGCGTGCATACTTGTTTTACAGATCTGCTTTGTATTTATGAAGACTGTTGGTTCATCGCCTCTCTGGCAGATGCACTCCTACTAAGATGAATGAATGAATGAATGAATGAATGAATGAATGAATGAATGAATGAATGAATGAATGAATGAATGAATGAATGAATGAAGGACCGACATTACTGCCCTCGGGATATCACCACATGTGCTCTGTCTCCTATCAAAGTAGTCAACCAAGAGTTGACATGCTGATAGCACTAATTGCAACCTGATTAAAAGTCCGCCTATATGTTGAAGGAGATATCCCTAGCTAGTTGCCTTTTACGTCATGCTTGATCGTAATAAGTAAGTTAGCAATTTACAATGCTCACTGATGTATAACAGTATTCCTAAAATATTGCTGTTGCATATTCTAAGTTGTATTTTTCAACTAAGACTTGAGTTGAATTGAGTTGAGTCAAGAATTTACATCACAGCATTCGGGGAAATTCAATGCGTGCTCCGTCCTCATCTTCAGCAGCCAGAGCAGAGTTCAAATATTGATGGTACGGTTCACAATCTGGTTATATGTCCGTCTTGCCTTTCATCTAAGTGTAGTTAGCCGGTCAGACCTTCTGGTTGCACCCAGATGCCTAATTCTCTCCGGGCCATAATAATCTTCTTTCTCTACTGACTCCGTTGCTTGTTTCCAAAGAGCCTTGACCACATCTGCCTTGTCATGTATCAATTCAGCACCCAATGGTGCAGGTCCAGCCAATCTGTCTGCCTGTTCGATACCCACTACGTCTGCATAGTCTGGAGAAATGTTTCACTGTAAAGAATGTTTACTGTATCTCCCGTCTTGATCTCAAAGACTGCCTTGCCTTGATTCACCAGGCTTCAGTCAGCGTTCATCCTCAAACCCAGATCCAGAGCATATCATTTATTTTCTGTCCATGACATTCAGCTGTGCGAGGTAACGAGCAGATTGATAGATTAGCTGCTGCTGCCCCTCTGTGGGTGAGCTATTGTATGATAAAGCGGATCTGATAAAGGCTCTATGGGATCAAATGGAAAGTGCAGGAGAAAAGATGGAGAATCCATACACTGACAGACTAATTCAACAGTGGGGGGGGGGGGGGGTTAGAGGACCTGGAGGATATTCAATACTGAAGGGGTGACAGAGGCGGACTTTTGATCAGGTTGCATCTAGTACTATTAGCATGTTGACTCTTCGTTGACTGCCGAAGAAGGAGACGGAGCACGTGTGGGAATGTGCAGTGCAGTGATGTCAATTCTTGATTCATTCATTCATACACCCATGCGACCCCACCAGCAGACTCAAACAGAAGTCAATGTACAAGAATGTTCAGTCTAAGAACGGGACACTGGTGCCCCAACTACCAGTTGCACAAGACGATGGTAAGTTCCCACAGTGCGCATGTCAGACGGGACCACAAAGGCTTGAACACGTTCTGAAGACCTGCCCACCCTACCTACAACTCCAAAGAGAAACCTGGCCTGGATAGAAAAGAGTGCAAAGCAAGCCATGAGGAACCATGGAGGACCTGCAACTGAGATGCATATTCATAGAGGCAACCCACCTGACGGTCTGACCTTAGCATACAAAACTGAACGCCAGGAAGAGGACTGACTCCCAGTTCATGTAAGCATGCAGTTTAGAAGATAATACAGTCGACGGAAATGAGGATGATGGTGACTATGAAGATGATGGTGACTATAAAGATGATGGTGACTATAAAGATGATGGTGACTATGAAGATGATGGTGACTATGAAGATGATGGTGACTATGAAGATGATGGTGACTATGAAGATGATGATGACTATGAAGATGATGGTGACTATGAAGATGATGGTGACTATGAAGATGATGGTGACTATGAAGATTATGGTGACTATGAAGATGATGGTGACTATGAAGATGATGGTGACTATGAAGATGATGGTGACTACGAAGATGATGGTGACTATAAAGATGATGGTGACTATGAAGATGATGGTGACTATGAAGATGATGGTGACTATAAAGATGATGGTGACTATGAAGATGATGGTGACTATAAAGATGATGGTGACTATGAAGATGACTTCGGAAAAGAAGACTATTTCGGCAGTGAGGACGACTGTGATAATGAAGGCGACTGTGATAATGAAGGCGACTGTGATAATGAAGGCGACTGTGATAATGAAGGCGACTGTGATAATGAAGACGACTGTGATAATGAAGGCGACTGTAATACATAAAACGACTATGACATTGAAGGCGACTGATAATTAGGACGACAATGATAATGAAGGCGACTATAATAATTAAGACGACGATGATAATTAAGACGTCTACGATAATAAAGAGGAATATGACAATGAAGGCGATTGTGACAATTAGGACGACTATGACAGTAAAGATGACTATGACAATTAAGACGAATATGACAGTGAAAACGACTGTGAATATTATGACGACTATGACCGTGAAGGCGACTGTGATAGTTAGGACATTTATGATAATGAAGGCGACTGTGATAATTAGGACATCTATGATAATGAAGGCGACTGTGGTAATTAGGACGACTATGACAGTGAAGGCGACTGTGATAATGAAGGCGACTGTGATAATTAGGACATCTATGATAATGAAGGCAACTGTGATAATTAGGACATCTATGATAATGAAGGCGACTGTGATAATTAGGGACATCTATGAAAATGAAGGCGACAGTGATAATTAGGACATCTATGATAATGAAGGCGACTGTGATAATTAGGACATCTATGATAATGAAGGCGACTGTGATAATTAGGACACCTATGATAATGAAGGCGACTGTGACAATTAAGACGACTATGACAGTGAGGGCGACTGTGATAATTAGGACGACTATGATAATGAAGGCGACTGTGATAATTAGGACGACTATGATAATGAAGGCGACTGTGATAATTAGGACGACTATGATAATGAAGGCGACTGTGATAATTAGGACGACTATGATAATGAAGGCGACTGTGATAATTAGGACGACTATGATAATGAAGGCGACTGTGATAATTAGGACGACTATGATAATGAAGGCGACTGTTATAATTAAGACGACTATGATAATGAAGGCGACTATGATAATTAGGACGTCAATGGCAGTGAAGGCGACTATGGTAATTAAGACGAATATGATAATGAAGGCGACTATGATAATAAGAACGAAAATGTAAGTCAAGGCGACTGTGATCATTAAGACGACTATGACAGTGAAGACGACTATGATAATGAAGACCACTGTGACAGTGAAGGCGACTGTGATTATTAGAACGACTATGATAATAAAGGCGACTATGACAATTAAGACGACTGTGATAATTAAGACGACTATGATAATAAAGGCGACGTTGACAGTGAAGGCGACTATGATAATGAAGACGACTGTGATAATTACGACGACGATGATAATGAAGGCGACTATGATAATTAAGACGACGATGATAATGAAGGCGACTGTGATAATTAGGACGACTATGATAATGAAGCGGACTTTAGCAGTGGACGACGATTTCGAAAATGACGACGACTGTGAACATTAAGACGACGACAATGAAAGCGACAGACGACTATGACAATTAAGACGACTGTGATAATTAAGACGACTATGATAATAAAGGCGACGTTGACAGTGAAGGCGACTATGATAATGAAGACGACTGTGATAATTACGACGACGATGATAATGAAGGCGACTATGATAATTAAGACGACGATGATAATGAAGGCGACTGTGATAATTAGGACGACTATGATAATGAAGCGGACTTTAGCAGTGGACGACGATTTCGATAATGACGACGACTGTGAACATTAAGACGACGACAATGAAAGCGACAGACATACAGACAGATCGCAGACAGACAGACAAACAAACCGTACTCACCTCTCTCTGTTTCCGGGGACGTTTGTGAGGCTAACATAGTTGGAGCGGACACTGCGTAGACTTGCCAAGATCTGAGCAAACGGCGTGACGATAAGATCCTCCGCATGTCTAGAAGAATTAAAAAGAGTAAATGATTTACGTTTTGGCTTCTCTGGCTTATCTGCTGACCCCTTTCTATTATCACTTGAATTCTTCCGTCCACTCTGTCGCCCTTCACTCTTTTTCCCATTCTTATGAAAGAGGGGGGATAAAAAGTTCAGCTTCTGCATAGTCTACGACCGAATTCAATCAACCAGTTGTGTCCATAACACACTAAAATTTGCAAGTTGTGAGCTGACAACACGGAAGACGGATTTGTTGTTGACTGTGAAGATGATAGTAAATCCAGACTTGTCATCTTGACATTTGGCTTACGGAACCTACTTTTATTTCAAAATGAAGAAATGTTAAATGAGGTTTAACGGTACTCCATAAAAAAAATATGAAGTTCAAAGACGCAATGTTCCTAGAAATAAACAATTAATTTGCGCTGCCTACTTGTCCGTTACAAAATATTGTAGAAGTTACATGCACAGATGGCAATCATAAACATCCACATAAACATATACATAAAATAACTCATATTGTTTGAAAAGGCAATCCTGTCTAAATTACTACAAGGCATATATATATATATATATATATATATATATATATATATATATATATATATATATATATATATATATATATATATATATACACGTTATCTAGGCTAAATATAATTGGTTAATAAGGTAAGGGCCTGTCGCTTTGATGTGAGTGAGCACGTTTCACAGTTTTACATTTCTTAAGTTTCGAAAGAAAATGTGATGTACATAAGAACTCCGTTTTCATGTCTTTTGGTGTGGAACGAAATTCAAACCGAGGAAGAGACTGAACATTCCCAAAGATAGCAATATATATTCACTGCAGCTAATTAATATCTTTTGCGGAAACGGCACGCATTATTACCGAATATTTAAAAACAAACTCGAGAACTCCGCATTTTTTAGCGAATATCTTGAAAACTATAGCCAATAATCATTTTTAAATGTAATTTTCGTTTTCAACACACCAAAATTAGTTAAGACCAACTATTTTCATTTCTGCTACATTTTGGATTTTTATGAAAAATTTAACATATTAAAAAAATTGTTTTAAAATGTTAACTTATCAAATAATAAATTGTTTTTAAATTGTAACTTATCAAGTAATAAATTGTTTCAAGATTGTATCTCATGAAATAATAAATTGTATTACAATTTTACCTTTTCAAATAATAAATTGTATTAAAATTTTTACCTATCAAAGAACACATTGTATTAAAACTTTAACTTTTAACAAATAATTATAAGGATAATCGGTAAGTTAACAGCATTTTAACCAGCGGTCTAAAAGTTAAATCACAAACGGGAGAATATCACCAAACAAGTATCTAGAGTCAGGACGCTTCAACCAACAAGTTAGTCAACCACTGACTCCCAACACAATAAACATACATTTAACACATATGCGGTGACAGATCTCTTTAGTAAGTAATGGATAGGGGGGAGAGGGGGAGAGTTCATCATATTTTTATACTGTATATTTCAATTTGGCGCAGATGTTGCTCAATACCACACAATACTACCATATGCCCTCGACTGGGCCTCCAGCTGTGAATATGTATGAGCTTCATCACGCGGAAAACTCGTGGCTGCAGACTGTTGTGGTATTATGTGTTCGGTATTGGGTGAAATGCTACTAAAGAAGAACTGAGTTTTGACACCTTTGGGTGAGATTGGTACACTAAGAATATTAACTCCATTTATAGCAGACGGCTATTACTTTAACTCATTGAGTCATAGGTATTTGTTACTTACAGTGAGGGGCGCTGAAACACGAGGGTTCGAGTACTTTGTGGCTACCCCCCTTCCCCCAACAACCACACATACAGTTTTTTCTCTAGCGGTACGCAACAGTACGCAGTACCGCACCTTTTGTAGGCATCATTATTTTTCAACATTGCTGTAGTAGGGATTTTGTGGTGAACATCGGCATTTTTATTTTTTAATTATGTTGGGGGCACCACCACCTGTTTTTTAGATTTTTTAAAAAATATCCGTAAACCATGAGTTGTTAACCCGTAGGCTCGGTACTGTGGATATTGCAGCCCTTCGGCTTTGATTCCATGATTGATACCTTAAATCTGGGAGAAATATGGCTTTTCTGCCTACCCCCGGGCGTGAACCCAGACCATGAGAAGTTCATCACCCGGTCGCCGCACAGTCAGGTTTTATAGATAGAAGGCTTTCTCCCTAATCACCAGTAGTTCTCTTTCTAAGTATGTGTTTAAATGTTTCACATTATTTCAAATACAGTTTTATATGATGTTTACCATTCCCAAAATAATAATAATAATAATAATAAAAATGAAAATAACAGCAACAACAACACTAACAATAACAATGATAATAATAATAATAAAAATAGTAACTGAAGACTTTCTACCCCACCAGGAAATCACACAAGCGATAAACATCCGATGACACAAAGTGCCACCATGTGGATGAGGATCACCCGTGGATAGGTCTCAAAAACCGCGTTCAGCCATTAGGCCATATTTATGGCCGGGCTGTATTGCGGCCCCTGGCAGGATCCAGGGTTGGGCTTTAAAATAACGAAAAATTGCATCTCACAAGGAGATGACTAATGTTATAACAAAAATAGTAACAATCACTAAAGATCCACAATCGACCCACCCACCCAGCCAGCCAGCCAGCCAGCCAGCCAGCGAGGGAGTCAGCCAGGGAGCCAGCCAGCCAGCCAGCCAGCCAGCCAGCGAGGGAGTCAGCCAGCCAGCCACACACACACACACACACACACACACACACATATATATATATATATATATATATATATATATATACATATATACAAGGTCCGTAACTTATGTAATGAGACTAACCCTTCGCCCCCCCCCCCCTAAATAATTATATGATGTTATAACCTGCCTTTTATTAAAAATAAGTCCCTTGCGCGTTGATACAGTGATTGGCACGATCTAACAAACACTGGAACGACCTCTGTAGTTCTTCTGTTGATATGGCCTTTAATGTCAATGTTACGACCCTTTTAATGCTATCAATATCATCAAAGAAGCGTCTCTTTCAATGATGGTAAATTGAATTTTGGGAATAGACTATAGTCACAGGGAGACAAATCTGGGGACTAGTGTGGATGATTGAGAACACGCACTTGTTTTTGAGCCAAAAATTCCTGTAAGCCGGTACATTGTCATGAAGAAGGAAAAAAACTGCCAGGTGTTGAATACAAATAAACTGTGGCTGTGACAGTCTGTCCCTCTGGAATCAATTCTTTGTGAATAACTCCTATGCTGTAGTAGAAGCACACCAACGTTGTCGACTTCTAAATACGGATTTGCTTGCTTTTTGGCGATGATGATGATGACTTCCATTGAGCATTTAAGCGTTTAGTTGTGGGATCATAGTGGAAAAATTCATGTTTCATTTTCTGCAACAATCATATTTAAATAATCTACTTCTGTGACACTTTTGATGATGTATTTTGCGTACTCAACACGCTGATGTTTTTGGTCATCAGACAACGAATGCGGTACAAACCGGCAAGTAATTTTTTTCTTGCCCAAATCTTAAACTAAAAAAATTTACGAATGGTCTCTCAACACCAAATTCGTCTGCCATAATCCTCACAGTCAAGCAACAATCTTCTTGTATCTGTTCTCTGACTTCTTTTGCAATGAGTTCTCATTACCAACACAAATTGGTGCCCAGGTCTGGTTGCATTGGTAATCATTTCCACACCACTTTTGAAACATGAACACCAGTTGAAAATCTGTGCACGAGATAAACAATTATCCCTACAAATTTATCGCATCACTTTTTACTCCACGCTGATTACGTAACAAAGTCTATGACATCAAAATGGCGGCTTATTGTCGTCTGCATATTGGGCGGCAATGAAAACTTTTAACAAATCATAGATGATGGTTGCCTCTTTGGATTCCATGCTTTGCTACATAAATAGGACTTTTGTCTTGGCCATAATAAAATCAGTCTTATTACTTTATTGTTGGACCTTGTACATAGAGACACAGAAAATACCAGACGCTGGTACAGAAGACACAGGTGGCGCAGGCGCTTTCTCCTTCTTCGGACAAATACACATGTTCAGGGTTAGTTAGTTAGTTAGTTAGTTGGGTTATCATCATTGCACTCCGGACATGTCCATAGGTGCTCAGATCCTCCCCTCAGTATAATCCCCAACGTCTGATAGCTAATAGTACCAGTTCTATGTTGATTAACAAGTCTTCTGGCGTGTCTGGTGTGCGTCTCGTTTTTTGCTGTGCCGATCTTAATTCCCAAGTCTGCCATTCTGGCGAGTGATGTGGATTCACTGCCATCAACGTCCTCTATTCTTCCCATTTCTCTGAGGGCATTGATAATATCAGCATGATCCATAGGCCGACCGTCGGTAGTGATAGCGGATCCAGCCAACCTGTCAGCTCTTTCATTCCTATCGACGCCTGCGTTTCCCGGAACAAAAATAAAGGTGACTCCACGCACAGTGGACTTCTGTAATGATTCAAGCCATTGTCTTCGCACCGAACCTGCCTGTTCAGGGTACTCACCATGAAGTGTTTCTTATAGTAAGTAAAGGACCATTTAAGGGACCTTCTACATAATACATATATACATACATACGTACCTACATACCTACGTACCTACCTACGTATGTACCTACCTACCTACCTACCTACCTACCTACCTACCTACCTACCTACCTACCTACCTACCTACCTACCTACCTACCTACCTACCCACCCACCCACCCACCCACCCACCCAACCACCCACCCACACACACACATATATATACATAATGCATGCATGCAGGCAAGCTAGGTACAAACATACATACATAGATGAAAACATACACGCATGCATGCATTACTTGATCTATGTATGTATGCTTGTATCTATGTCTGTATGTATGTACGCGTGCCTGCATGAACTCATGCGTGTATTATGTACGTAAGTCATATAAGCATAATACCAAACACACACA